CGCGGCGGCCCCGCCCCGGCGGGGAGAGGCGGGCCCTGTCTCCCGTCCCCTGGCCCGCCCCCCCGCCCCTCCACCTTGCGCCAGGCTGGTTTCTTCTGCTCCTCCCTCCCCATTCCCAATGCAGGGCTGGCGGTGACCTTGGGAGGTTTGAGAGCAGGGGCGAGACGCGGGCCAGGCAAGCTGATGCGTCCAGGGAAGCCAGCAAAAGGGGCTTCTTCCCCCCTCCTCGGCGCTGAGGAGGCAAGGCGGATGCTGGGCCAGGAGCTCAAGGCTCCCCCAGCAGCCTAGAACGGCCGCGGGAAGGAGAGGGAAGGAGAGCCGGTGGAAGGAGGCCAGGTGGGCTGGAGAATGAGATCAGGATGATTTGTGGCAGGCAGGGAGGGTCAGCCCGACCGCGTGCATAGTGTCAGGCACCCTCCCCCCAAAAGTCAGCACAGCCGGGTTTGTACATTTCGAGATGGTCTCGTCAGCAAGCCCCCTGAAAAACGAATGCAGCAGACCTCCAAGGAGGAGTCACAGCCAGAAAATTGGCCTCCTGCCGATTGATCGCTGTTGAAAGGGACTTCTGAATGAGTCATTGCGGTGTTGCAAGGGTGGGCTCTCCCCGTGTGAATTGCCGCCTCGGCTGCGGGATGTCAAGAACCAGGACGAGGACAGGGGGCTGCAGGGACTGTCTTGTCGTCTTCTGGCCAGGCGGAGCAGCCGCCTGTGGTGAGGCGCCCAGAGAGGACCGTCTGTGCACGGGGGACCTGCAGGAGCTGCCGGGCAAATGGACGGAGAGCAGTAAAAGGGCGAGGCGGCGATCAGCTTCATTGGAAGGGCCGACAGGCAGCCACAGCCAGCGACGTCTTTCTTACGGGCCAAATGTCCCCCAGCGTGTTCCCCAAGGGTGACTCCAAGCTCAGAGCCTGCATAGAGAGGCTTCAGGCCAACTGCAGCGAAAGCAGTGTAGGGTTCTTGAACCGGGTTAACTTCTACCAATTTGCTGGTGAACTAGACTGAAATTTGCAAAGTCCTTTTTAATTAGAACCATCAAATGAAGCAACCCAGCACACATGTGAGGTCTAAATTAGCCTCCTTTATCTGAAGAGGGATACACAGATTTTCCTTTCATAGGAGCTGGGTTGACTGTTCCTCTGGTTTTTCAAAATGCAGCCAATTGAGTTTCAGGTGGGACAGAGAGAGAGAGAGAGAGGATGGAAGAAAAGGGGCAACAGGAGAAGGGGAAATGTGGAGCATCAATGGGGGGCACAGGGCCTGTGCCCAATTCTTTTGCTTCTGCAACCCCCTGAGAGCCCGAGGCTCTGCCTGCCGTTTACCCCCCTGTCCCCAGGCACGCCTCCTTGCCCCAGCTGGCGGAAGGGACAGGCAGGGGAATTGACTGACCCAATGCTGTAGTCAGGATCGACCCCCTTTCGTTCTGGGAAGGAAAATGGTTGATCAGCCAGCAGCAAGAGAACTTGTGCCGATGCATTAGATCTTCGGAGCCCGTTGTCCACTACGGACGCTCTGCAGCCTCTCTGGCTATAAAGCCACGCTGGTGCAAACTGGGCTGGGGTGGATCTCGATTCCACGGCTCCAGATCCATTTGGGAAGTGGCTATAATCTCTTGACAGGAGGCTGTTAGAAGTTCAGCCAGAGGTCCGGTGGAGAAGACATTTCAGCAACTTGAAAGATTCCTGTAAATTGGTCTCGGAAGGGAAGGTGGAGATTTTCAGGCAGGTTAAATGGTTAAATAACCCGTTGAGTACCTGGCTCAGGACCTGCAGCAGACTGTCTTTCTAGGTTGGAATTCTAAAGCAAGAAGAGCCATCTCTCCATCCGGGCCAGGTCCACAAAGGGCATGACAGTTGACAGAAGGGGCAAAGTTTGGAATTTGTCACTTTTTGAGGAAGGATGGCCCAAACTGCCAGCCACGAACCTCAGCCTTCTGACAAGGGTCCCCTGTCCTTGGAGAAGACTCTCCTGAGCTCTGCCTTCTTCTTGCTTGCGAGCAGCCAAAGACTCCTCAGCGTCATGTGCTCTCCCTGACCGCAGGCCAGGTTCCCCTCTCTTTTGCACCGTCAGTAAGGCAGATCCCTCTCTGATCGGAATACCAGCCTCTCGGGAAAAGCCCCCTCCCTCCATTCCTGCCTGCAAACTCTTCTTGGCCAAGCAGCCTGGGTGGGATTCTTGGCAGGGATGTCGAGCTTTTTCAACAACTTCCAGTTGTCCTCATCCAACTGAAATAGGAGCCTTCTTTTCCTCCTGCCTTTCTCATAGTTGGCTTCTCTCTGCAGAGGCTTTTTTTGGGGACAGAAGTGAAGTATCAGGTGGGTCATACAACCCCGATTAAAACAAGGCCCGCTCTTTCCAGAGCAACCGTGGCAAAACTGAATTAAATATCAGTAGGTCGGGAAAACCAGCCGAGTGTTTACTCTCAGGGTCCTCTGTATCAAATGCACCTGGGAGGCCACGGCTCTCATACCCGCAGAACACCCTCCAAGGGGGCTGCCCTTGAAGACAATGGTGATAGAGGTGCTGGACTGCAGTGCCCAGGATCCCCATCCAAGCAGAGAGTCGCTTAAGTACAGTGTGGACGGAATAAAAGAACCCTAAACAGTTGGAAGGTGAAAAATAAACTCTTTATTGAGTGATTGCATAGTAAATTCCCATCAGTATGACTTTCAGCTCTCAGTAATTTGCAAAGGAGATTAGCCACAAAAGAATTGCAAAGCAAGTAAACACCCCCGCCCCCATCTTTCAAGATTAGGAAGCATTTGATGGCTCATAAACTGCATCTCTCTCTCGTGCCCAGAAGTCAGGGCTTCTCAGCTTTGGCCACTTGAAGAGGTGTGGACTCCCAGAATTCCCCAGCTTTGCCCTCCCAGGTGCATTCGATGCTGAAGATGCTGGCTGGGGGATTCTGGGAGTCGAAGTCCACGGCTCTTCAAGTGGCCAAGGCTGAGAAACGCTGCTCTAGGTACCCGCACAACGGCGCTTGGGCGGGCTTTGCCAGTGTGCTCCAAGCAGGGCGTAGCAGGGCAGCAGCTGACGGACTTTGGGGAAGGGCTCTGCTGGCTGGGCAAAGAGGACCAGAGGTCAGGTCAAAAGGTAGCGCGCGTGAAACAGGAAAAAATGCACTTATGACTTGTGGTTTGGATGATTGGAAAAAATTGGATGATAGAAAAAAATGAGTTTTGTAATCATTGAGTAAGAGATAATTTCGTAATTGTACTTATACTTGCTGCAAAGGAAATGGGAAGACTCTTCTTCCTATTTCTTTTTATTCTTTCTTTCTGCACTTTTGTTTTTCCCTTTTCTTTGTTTTCTTTATTTTGTGTTAGTTTTTATGTTCTCCTTAAAGCTTTTAATAAAATTTATTAAAAAAAAAAAAGAAGGTAGGGTGGCCGGGCTGTACCAACAACCAGGAGAGAGAAGACATCATGTTCCCTGGAAGCACATAATCCCCCACGGTGCAGACCCAGAAGGTCAGCCATCCGTCACTTGACGCTCTCCAGATGGCCTGGGCGAGACTCTTCCTCCCCCGACCCGGCCACGTTGGAGGCAGAACAAGGAGAGCTGCAGACCACCACATCTGGACAGCCCCGGCCTGGACAAGGTTGGTCTGGACCTTCCCAACCGGTCCTCCTCAGTGGGGCCACCCCGCCCTGACCTCCTCCGCTCACCCATCCATCTTTTGCACTTGTCTGGCCCATCTCTGGGCGGGTTGCTAAACGGCTGCCAACTGCGTTTCTTGATAAGGGAACAAACACTTGCGGGGCTGACTGAGAACCTGCGGCACAGCTGGAAAGCACAGGAGCCCGTGCAGCTGGATTCACGGCAAGCCCCGCCATGGGCGGCGAAGAGCCAAAGCCTCGGGCAGGTGGCTAACACCTCCCCATGAAAGCCGGTCTGATCTTGTCCAGAGATGGCTTGGGAGTGCGCAGGGAGACGGAGTCTTCCTCTCCACACTTCCACGCCTTTCCCACGGCCTTTCCATTTTGAGAGGAAGGGGTTCTTTGGGGAAGTCTCTGAAGGCGGCAGAGGCCGGGTTGATGCTGGCCTCTCTTTACCGGCCGCTCTGTTGCAGCCCCCCCCCCGGCTCTGCCTTCTGCCTGGGACACTCCAGTGGCCACCCCTGGTGTTCTAGGGAAGGGAAGCCCCCTCCTGGCTCTCAGTCAGGAGCCAAGCAACAGGTGGGTGACGCAACACCGTTCTTACTTTGAAAAATAAACTGGGATCTGGCTATCTTTCCATCCCGGTGGTTCTCAGACTTGGCCACTTGATGGGTGGACTTCAACTCCCAGAATTCTGGGAGCTGAAGTCCACCCTTCTTAAAGTGGCCAAGGTTGAGAAACACTGTTCTGACCTGATTGCTTAAGGGGACGTGGTCTGCAGGTACCGTTCAGAAAGGCTCCAAAGGCTGGAGCCTCCCACTGACCCAAAGGCGTGGGCTTCGTGGTCCCCACAGCGGTCTGAGAAGTATGATGGAGCAGCCATGAGAGACCCCCCCCCCCAAGTTCGCGTTGGAAAAGTCATACGTGGCCAAGCAGACAGGCAGTGTTTCCTAGCTCAGGGGAAAGGCAGGGCCTGCAGAGGCGCAGGGATCTGGACCACTAGACGATAAGCCATCGGGGGTGCTTGGGGGACTATGAGGTTGTGGAAGCCACGGGGCATTTCTTTCACGTGTGCAGTCGTGGCCAAAGCTTCACGGGGGGAATAGGGAAGGGGGAGAGTGCAAAGCCAAATGCACAAGGCTGACTCCCTCCCCTCCCCTCCCTTCCCCACTTCTCCCCTCCCCACCTCTCCCCTCTTTCCATGGGCTGCCATGCGCAGGATGATTCCATTCTGAACGTTTCTGACATCTGGTGGGAAGCTGAGGGCTGGCGCGTGTCTCCCCATGGAAGAGGTGTCTGTGTCCCTCTCTTGGGGGTTTCAAGGGCTGCCAATGACTGAAATGATTGGGGGGGGGGTAGAGCGGAATTCCTTAAGATAATAATCACTCCCCTTTGGCCTGACGTTACGGCCCACCCATGACAAACGTCCTAAAAGGATTAAAGGTGCCACAAGGGGGGTGGGTGGGGGGGTGTCTGGGTCCTCTTGCAGGCAGGGCAGACCACCTCCTGGAAGGCAGAGCAGATGCACTGCCAGGGGCTGGTGCTCATGCTTGCACATCAAGGGTGGAGCACTGTGACCCCCCCACCCCCGTCTGCAGCCTCATCAAGTCTAGGATGTTTGGGGTGCCTGTGGGGCAAAGCCCTCCAACCAGCTGGGGGGAGTGTCAAGTCGCCAGTCTCTGGTGGGCAGGAGCAAAGAAGCATCTGGAAGGCGGGTGCGGCTGGGGGTGCAGGTGGAAAAGGGCTCCCCTGCATCTCTGGGGCTCCCGGGGCCGTCTGGCTTCTGGGCTGAGCGGCCGCCGGCTGAGCCAGGGGCTTCTTGCGTCGAGGCGAGCTTCATTTGGGCAGGGGGGCGATGATGACGTTTCGGTAGCCCTTCACCCCCTTCAGCTTGTCGCTGTCAAAATCCACCACCAGCTTCCGCAGGCCGGACTGCTGAGGAACGAAGTCCACCCTCACTTTGGCTTCCTGCCCGGGCTCGACGGGGCTTTCGCTGGAGCAGGAGGGGAAAGCACAGGTCAAGCGGGGACCTGCCTGGTCCTCAGGTGCCGGCAGTCCGCCTGGCCATGGTCATCTCCAACCTCCCTCCTCCTACCTCTGCCTCCCCCCTGCATCGGACCACGATCCCAGGACTACGAGCCTGGATGACCAATGCAGCTGGGGGCACTGTGTTGGGGAAGGCGGCTGTGCCAGAGGTCAGAGGGCTTCGTCTGTTCTCTGGACATTGATTCTTCCTGGCTTAGGAAAATCCAATGTCAGGATGGAATCTGGCTGCCCATCGTCCTCCCTCCTCTTTTAATAGATTTTTCCATCCATGCGGGGATGGGAGGTCTGCAGGGGGTGGTCAAAAAAGTCAAGGGTTCGGCTGCTCTGCCTGCTTTCTGTGTGTGCAATTGCGTGCAGGTGCGACACACGCCCACAAAAAGGCAGCGCTTCGATTGCAGTCGCCCCTCACCCATTGTTTATTTTTAAACAGCTGCTCGTCCTTTTTGCCCCCCAAAGAGACCTGGATGACCCTCTCCAATGCTGGAAAAAATCTGCTTTGGAGAAGCGAAGAACGTGAGCGAATGTCTTGGGTGGAGCCCCCGACTCAGTGCGGGAACAGCTGGCCTCTCCTGAGCAAACCATGGTTTTCTTCCAAGAGGGAACCAGCTGCCTTTGCTCACTTTAGCTCCCTCCTGTCCCGGGACCCCTGTTCTCCAGGGGGTCTTTCCCATTTTTGGCCCAGAGATTCCTGGGATGGGCCTTGCTTCCTTTGGTTAGGAAAAAGAGGCTCATGTCCCCCCCTGCGGCCTTTGGAGCAGTCCTTCTGCATCTTGCACAGTCCGCCATCCCCCCCCCCCCCCCCCCCCACGAGGGGGGGGGGGGGGGGGGGGA